ATTCACCTACAAAAATTGTGTCATTAACAGACATTTCTTCGTCATCAATCTCTTCTTCTTCTTCCATTCGTTCTTTTATTTTTTCTTCTTGTTTTTTCTTTAACTCTTCTTTTCTTTTAGGACAGTCTTTTGCCAAGTGTTCAGTTGAACCACAAAAGAAGCACTGAATAGGAACAACTTTTTTGATATCTTCTTTTGGTTGTTCTTCTTCTTTAACATTAAATTTATGACCAATTCTTTCTTCCATTTTTTTACGATCTTCTTCATCTTGATCTTCATATCTCTTAAGTTTTTTCATTTTTCCAGCTTTACCTCGAACAGGTTTATTCTTTTTCTTTTCCTCTTCATCCTTCTTCTTTTTATCTTCAATCTCTTTTCTTTTTTCAGTACGTTTTTTCTTCTCTATTTTTTGTTGTAGTCTAGCTTCTTCTTCTTCTTTTTTACTTGAAAATTCTACTTTTTTAAATTGGATTTCTTCAATAGTGACTTTACCCTCATCTTTTTCTTTAACTTCTAGATTCTTAACTTTGACTTTTTCTACTTGAACTGGAACAACTTCTTGTTTTTCTTTTTTTTGTTCTTTATCTCCTTCTTGCTCAACTATTTTAATTACACTTTCCATATTTTCTTTTTGTTGAACCTCTTTTGTCTCTTGTGGAATAATTTCTTCATGGTTTTCTTTATCCTCCTTTTCAACAGCAAACATAATTCCAATACCAAAAACTAATGGAACAGGTGGTAGATAATTTTTCTTTCCTCTAATCATGAATGAACCAGTAGTAAGATATTCTCCTGATGGTGCTGTTTTACTTACTTGATCGCTATATACCCACCATGCAGAAGTAACAATTTTTGATGTCCAAGCAGAAGATCTGCATACAGCAATTTTACCAGCTTGTTCTAAGGTAGGAGCTCCGATAGTTTTACCAGGAATTCCTTTAATAATACAAGAAGCAGCACCATGAATATCAGCATGAACATATACATCAGTACTTTTCATATATCTACGATATATGACATCATTTTGTAAAGCATCTTTACCACTTATAATAATAAAATTTTCACTTGATAAGAACCAATGGAATTTCTCAAACCAAAACCTTTTTCTCATTTTCTTTACATCTACTAAAGTTATTTTCTTTTCTTTTGCTACTCTTTCTTGTTTATTCTCAGCTTGTTTAATTGCTAAGTCTTTACTTTCCATTGTTTTTTCTGCTTTAGCTAATATATTCTTTCTCATTTCATAAAAATTACGAATATTTTCAAAACCATTTTTGTTTAATGCAATTTCTACTTCTATAATTTTATCTTCATTTGTATGTTTTAATTCTAATACAACGACTTCATTTTTAAAATCGAATCTTTTAATATATTTTGCAATAGACGTTGGATCATTTTCTTTTAATGATTCAATAATACCTTCAATCTGTTCCCATTTCATTTTTTCTTTTAAGAATACATTAATTTCTTGAATTAATTGATCAACAACTTGAATATTCTCTTCAACTGCTTCAGCCTCATTTTTTAATGTTTCAGCTTTATCTAATAACCCTTGATATCTTTTTTGATGTCCATCAATAACAGCTTGAATTTTCTTTTTCATAATCATTTCTTTCTTTTCTACTTCTGCTTCATACTCTTGTTTTTCAATATGACTATGAAATTCATCCATTGCTTTTTCAAAACTTTCAAATTCAATATATTTTCTTTTACTATCTTGATAGAAAATGTCACAACTAACTTCTTCATAATATTTCTTTTTATTTGTCTCATGATAGAAAATATATCCTTTACATTTACCTGAATCAATTTTCTCATATCGTGTTATTGCTTCTTCAAGAATCTTTTTCATTAAACTCTTTTCTTCTTCATTAAATTCTTCAAGTCTTTTTGTTTTACTACTTTCTTTACCAAATTGACTACAACAATGGTCACTAAGTTGTTGTCCAAAATCACTGGTATAATTTATTAATTGTTTTAAAGTCCATCCTTTCATACTTTCAGATGTAAAAATTGTGTCATATTCTTTTATTATTTTTTTTAATTCATCAATACCATTTGCATCACTTAGAAGATGAAGAGGGTATTTTTCTCCTACAGCAACTTTATCTCCAGTTTTATCAAATGTAAAACTTCTTAATATTAAAAGAATTTTATATTCTTGGTCACATAAACAGATGTTACCATTAGAATATAAATCAACTATTAATGAATAACGTTCAGTAGCATTTCCAAACACTAATTCAATGACTCTATCATTACCTATTTGATTAATTTTAATTAATTTCTTTTTATTTAAATATTTTCTTAGTCTAGAAGTAAAGTTATTTGGAAAGTCGGATTTCTCTCTGTTATATTCTGTTAAATGAACTCTAACTCCTGACTCGATAACAATAAATTCTTTACAATCTGTTTTTGATAACTTGATTACATATAATCTTCTATTAACATCATACACTGTGTTAATGTTAAAGTCTATTTGTTAGTTTTTATCTTTCTTAACTAATTTATGTATATATTTTTTTTTCAAACTTTGTAGTTTATTATTCATTTCTCCAACAATAGCTTTGATTTCTAATGGGGACATCCACTTTCTTGGTTTTTTAGAGAATTGGCTCATTTTGTGTATTGAACGTCGAATGAACTAATTCAGTTTATTTTTGTTTCTCTTTATGGATTTTTTTCAAGACTCAAACTTCTTTTAAGTTTTTTTAATTTTTAATTTTTTGTTTTTGTTTTTGTTATTCAAATTCTAGTCTATCCTTTTCATCAAATCATTGCTATTCAAAATAAACACAATGGTGCTATTGTTCTTCAATTTCTAATTCACTCAAATGAGTAACTGCTTTTCTCTCTAAAACTAACTTATTAAAAAGGTATCATTATTGATTTAATAAAGCATAAAGAGTGAATTCCAATATCAAAAACGTTTACACTGTAAATTACTTTAGCAAATGACATTTAAACAAATATCATTTAATAGTACTAATAAATAACCTCTTTCTTAAAAGATTTACTTTTTATCATTAAACATTATTTAGATGAAAGTGTTTCATATAACAATTACAAAAATTAATAATCTAATAAGGTAATTAAATTGAAGGATCAATTCAGGTTATTGTGAAGGTAACACATAAATGAAAGATATAAAAATAACAATATCATAGTTCTGGAGTTTGAAACTTTATAATAAACAATTCTTGAATTGCATTACATTTTATTTTAAGTATTAAACTTATCAAATAACTAACTAACAGTCATATGATTTATTATATAAATAAAACATACATATTGTGGTTGTTTAATATCAAATTTCTTCATTTCTTCCATTTGATTCTAATGAAAATAAAAATGATTGTGAATCATATATCCATTCATCAACTTCATCAATTTTCTCATTAACATATCCTCCAAATTTATTTCCTTCTTCATCTTCAATAATAATTATTATATGTTCTTTATTTTTTATTCTTTCTCCAAATACTGATGTATTTTTATTCCAATTATCTTTATCTGAATCAAATAGTATATTTCCTACTTTTCTTTCTGTCCATTCTTCTATTTGTTTGATTTCTTCCATTCCTCTCATCATTTGTAACCTCTCTTCTCTTCTTTTCTTTTCTCATGGTTTAACACTTCCTAAATAATATTGATAATTCTTATTAGTATCATCAATTGATTGTTGAATGTGTGGAAGTGTTTCTACTACTTCTTTAATTATTTGGTTGTTCTTGTTTATTAACTCTTCCATTTTAATTTAATTTGATGTTTATAAGTTCAAATAAAAATAACTATAAACATAATTATAACATTTCTGAAACTAATCAAAATGGTTATTGATTAATTGATGTATATCCTTATTAATCAAAGTTTTACAAAATAAAGTACTAATGTTTCAAACTTATTGGAAGAACTTTTATTTTTATTTTTAGAATTGTAAACATAAATAAAAATAGAATAGTTATTTTTAAATCGCCAAGAAATTTTCACTTCATTATTTCAGATGAACAGAAAGAAGTTATACGACAAATACATTAAAATTAAAGCACATAGAACATTCTATATAATAGAAAACAGAGATTGTTCTACTGGCTTAAATACACTCTGAACAGTTGAAATTTCGTTTAGAATTTTGTTTGTAGTATGAGGATTTGTTTCTTTTTCAATACAATTGAGCTTTTTCAGTCTTCCAAAGAAATGATTCTTTACATCATTTGGTGATCTTCCTTCTAAACAACTTGCAATAGTTGTCCATTTATTTCCTATTTCTTTTCTTTTTTGAAGAATAAGACAATCCTCTTCTTGACTCCAAGGTCGATGATAGATGGATTCGTTGTTATTGAGATATCGCTCTCTACATTGTTTTTTTGTTCTGGTTGGAACCATAGAAGCAACTTCTTCCCAATTATTAGTTCCATATCGTTTGATTCCTTCCATTAACTGCATTTCTTCTCTTGTTGTCCAGATTCTGACAATCTTCTTTTTAATAATGTCTGAATCAGAAGAATTGTTTGTAGATGGTGTATGTATGCACGAACTCATAAAAATGATGTCTAAGTTCAAAGAGTTGTGTTTAAACTATATCTTCAAACAAGATTTGTTTTCTGTAAATTTCTATTGTTTTATAAATAAACAAACAATTTTCTGTTATGATTCTTCTTGAAATATTGTTATTTATTTTGCTGTTTTATTATTAACCCAATAACACTGTTTTGTAAAACAAAATAAAATAAGTTAGTTTTTTAGTATAATAAAATCAAAAAGAAAGAAGTGAAGTTCAATTGAAAATAAGGAGATTGAAGAGAAATGAAGAAGTTGTTTTAATGGATATCTAAAGAATATGATTAAAGTTAATTTAAATTGGGGTTTAATAAGAAAAGGTGGATAGAAGAATAGAATCAGGAGTTGAAGCAATAGAAGAGAGAAAAAGAATAAATAGTAAAATGAAAAAAAAAAGAAATAAACAAAAAGAACTGATAATTTATTGAGAAGGAAGAATCATGAGTAATTCAAGTAAATCAGAAGAACACCTTGGAATTGAGGATCTTTTATCTCTTGAAAACCCAACTCCAGACGTCATATTTTGTTTAAATACTGATCACATAACAAAAATTAAACAAACGATAATAGCTATTCCCTACATTAATTTTGTGTTAAATGAACATTATCAAGAAGTTTTATCAGCAAATGATTTCCAGTCAATGTGTCTTCAATTAAATTTATTAAAGAAAAGAATCATTGCTAACACATACCTAGAATCAAAAATTAAAAAGAAATTATTTTTAACATTTGTTCATCACATTAATCAATTCTTTGATAATTATGGAGATGCTTCTCAATTACAGTTTGTTATTTTATTGTATTTTATTTAGAGGGTTGACTTTAATTTGGTTATGAAGAATTAAATAACCACCATTTATTTTTCTACTTCTTCTTACATTTGTATTTACTGCACTGAATTATGTATTAATACGTTTTAGTAATGTGTCACAATTACAACCACTTCCTCTTCCAGTACAAACAGAATTTCCTCTAATTCAACCACCACAAGAAGGAATTCTTTTAAATCAACCAATGGCATCATTACCTGTGATAAATTCACAATATCCAATGGTAAATTATCCAATGACTGTAGTTGATTATAACCAATACCCACTTGTAAAATCTGAATCTCAACTCAATGACTATTTATCACTTAATCAATCAAAAGTAAATTACATAGAAACAGATTATTCCCAATTAACATCAATGCCTACACAAATTACTCCTTTAATTCATCCTACTGATACTTCTTTAACTAAACTACGAACTAACTTAATACAAGAACTTCAAAACGCTTCTTCTCAAATATTAGGGGCAATTGCACAAAAATATAAACCAGGTGAAGATGATGTTGTTATTGATATAGATACATTAACAATTGATGATATTAATAATATCCTTATTCAAATACAACAACAATGACCATCCACATTCCTTTAATAACGTTATGTATTTTATTATTTAGTAATTTGATTAACAACTATTTCTTTTATAAATTACTTTTTTTAATATTATATTCTGTCAATACCATAAAACGATAAACAAATCTTTCATTTAATTAATTGACCAATTATTAATCTATGAACTTGGAAATCTGGAAAATATTCAAAGTCAATTCCTATATCTTGAATAGCTTCTCCAAGAGAACTATTACATGTATTCCCATAATCATTTAGATCTTCACATAGATATACTCCATTTCTTAAAATTAATTTATGTGGATTTATTGCTTTATAATTAGATGGAATTACTGGAGTACAAGGTAATGATGAATCAATAATTTTTAAGTCATTATCTCTCATACAAAACTTTATTGGAGGTATTAATTGTTCATATTCATTAAAAAATATAAGAGTTTTATAATATACTCCAAAAACAACATTTGAATTAACAAGGAGAATAATAACAATATGATTCCTAAATTGTAAACATGGAATAATATACTCCATTTCATATGGTAAATAATCAGAGTCAAAAAGCAGTTTCATATGTTCTATTTCTTTTTTTAATTGACTTTCAATTTCATTCATAAATTAATAATTTGTTTTATATTTCTAAGTTTTATTTTGTTTATCTTCAAATATTTGTTGTTAATTAATAACAAAAAAAAATTCCTCAGATTATGACATATTTGACATCAGTTTTTCAGACGAAAGATGGTTTAATGTAAATCATCATTGGTACAAATAAATGAAATATCTTTCTATTACCAAATAATAAAAATAAAAATAAAAATTATGGAATTAATAAAATATTAATTGTAAGAAAATAAATTAAAGAAATTTATAAAAAATAACATACAAAAATAAGAATAATATTTTATTGTTTAGAATATAAACCAAAGAACATTGAACACATATCTTTGATTTGACTTTCCTTATTTATTTCAAAATCTCGATCACATTCTCCATTTGGTTCAGCAATATAAATTGAGAAATCACTAGCATTTTTACCATTTAATTTAATTCCATTTCTAAATGCATAAATTAGTACTTCATCAATAAACCCACCAACAGTTCCAGTTTCATCATACTCAATTTTAAGTTGAATTGTTTGATAAAAAACAGTATAAATTTTACCAGGTTTTTTTCTAGGTGAAGCTATAATAGTTTTACCTTTATTTTGTCTTGGAGATAATTGAGGTTTAGGAACAATTTCATCATCTTTTTTTCTTTTAAACAAACTAGATTTATTGTTAAGAGATGTTCTTTGTTCTTTTTTAATTTCACGTTCTTTAGAAACACCTTTAGTAGGAGGAACAACAAAAATTGTTTGTTTACTAGAAGCGTCTGAATTAGTTTGATATTTTCCTTTTCCAATTAAAACAAAACTATCTCCATAAGTACTGATATTAGAATTTAAAACAACATCAAAATCGTCATCAGGAATACCATTTTCATCAGCCATTTTAAATTCATAGTTATTTAAATCTTTAGATAATTCAAATTCAGTACCATTAAGATTATATTTTTTATTTCTTTCATCAATAACACTACTTAAAAATTCTTCAACAGTTGTATTATCTTTATATCCATATCTTGCTGTACTTCCTTCCATTTTTTTTATTTTAAAAAATACTTTTGCATTTTTTGTATTAAGAAAAGCAGACATTCCACTATTACTATTATTTAAAACTCTACGATGTTTCTTTACTTTATCAAAATAATCAGGATTATCTACAAGTACAAAATGTGAACTTCCCATTTCTCCTATTTTAGATGAATATTCAAGTGGTGGAAGATCATCATCTGCTACTCCATTTTCATCACTAATTCTTAATAAATATGATTCATATGTCTCTCTTAAAAATAAATTATTTTGGTTCTCTTCTTCTAATTGTTTATTTACTTTATTAATTGTTAATTTAATAAATTGTTCAATACTTGTATTAGGAGATGAAGAAAATGAATATTTAGGTATAACAAAATCTCCAGTAAAATGAATAAAATACGTCTTAAATTGAATTCCTGTTTTAACTCTTCTTGGATTTGGTAGTCTTGGAATTGGTTGAACTTGAAACAAAAGATCTATTTCTTTTTCGGTTTGCTTCTTTTGTTCAACTCCTTCTACTTTTTTATCATTTAGTACTATGTTCTTTTTCTCTTTTTCTAATACATTTTCTAATATATTTTCAAAATCATTTAATGAAACTAAACATTCTGTCTTTCTCATTAAAATGTTATTCTTTAAATTTAATCGATTCATACATTCATCAAGTCCTATTTCTTTAACTAGTTGATCTTCTGAAATATAATTCACTAAATTATTCATATTTCCATTTTTTAGTTTTTCTTCTTTCATTTTGTGTTTTTCTTTTTTCTTTTTTTTTTAACAAATTATTCTTTTTTTTTTGTTAAAGAAGATTTTTATTTTTAAATAGATTCTTTATAAATAGAAATTGATTCTTCAATAAATCTTATTCAACTTTTTCTATCTATTTCTGTTACATAATTCTTTCTTAATAAACAATAACAGAACAATTAAAGTTATTTCATTTTAATATGATATTTTTTATTTTGTATATTAATGAAATTTTCATCAAAACAATAAAAAAATAATATCTAAGTCTTGTTTTTTAATGATAATGAAGACTAGAATTAATATTCATTCAAAAAAAAGAATTACTAAATTTTCTTTTATTAGTTTATAAATTTTCAACAGCTTTTGATTCAATTCAAAAATAAGAATGATTATAATAATTAACAATTTAATCAAATAAATTACTAAGTCATACGTAAAGATTCTGTAGACAGAATTATAAATCACAAATTCATTTAATATAAAATAAATATAATATTACATATTGTTATAATACACCGAATAATGGTGATTTTATATTATTAAATAATAGTTTCATAATTACTTATTTGAATAATAAAAATAATTTAATTCTTTCCTATTCTTTTAACAAAGAAGTGAATTTTTTGTAGAGTTTTTTGTGTTAATTTTTTTTTTGTTATTCATATTATGTTGAAAAAAAGAAAAGAACTAGAAAGAATAAATTGTGTTATTGAAATGAAACGTTCAACAAAGATAACATCAATTGTGTTTCCATTAATAGTAGTATTTCTTATGTTTTTCTTAGGAATAGAAACATTAATTTTAGAAATATGGCAATTTCCATTCACTACAATAAAAATGGCATGTTTTTTATTTTGTTTTTGTTTCTATTCACTTATGTGCATCTCATATTATAAAGTAGTTTTCACTTCACCAGGAACAACACCAAATGGGTGGTTACCAAATCTCCCTGAAATTCAACTTGAATATGCAAAAGAACGATATCGAATATCACAAATGAAACAACAAAAGTTAATAGATATGTTATATCCAGCTCAATATTGTGGAGAATGTCATGAATATAGACCACCAAGATCATATCATTGTAAAACATGTGATAAATGTATATTAAAAAGAGACCATCATTGTCCATGGATTGGACAATGTGTTGGATTTAAAAATCATAAATATTTCATTCAATTCTTATGGTATACCCTATTTATTTTAATATTAGGATTTTTATGGCATTGTTATGGATTATATAACTCTTATTCTCTTCTTCAACAACATCATCAAACACTAGAATTCTTTGATGATTATAGAAATGTACTACGTTTAGGATTTGGTATATTAGAATTTACACTGGCTATTTCTATTGGTGGATTAGGAGTTGTTCACACATACCAAGTATTGATAAATACAACTGGTCAAGAATCAATTGAACTTAGCCAACTAAGAAAAAATGGTTCCACTAAAGAAACTCGTTCATTATATTCTCATTCAATGAAACAAAACTTCATCGAAATTATGGGTCCTAAGTGGTATGATTGGTTTTTACCAACTCCTCCAATAGGTGATGGGATTCACTTTACAAAGAGAATAGACATTACTGTTTAATAGAATTATAGTTTTATTTTTTTTTGTTATAAAAAACGAAATAAAAAGGTAAAAAAGAAGAGAATAGAATTAAAACTGTGAAAAATGAAAAAAATTATTAGATTTGGTTGAATCAAGAACAAACTCAAGGGGTGTTTCATGACAACACAATATAACTTAGAAAATATCAAAACAAAAGAAGGTAAAACACCAAGAATTATACCAAAACAATGTAGGTTGTTAATGAGAAGTTTTGAAGAATTACATGATTCAGTTAGACCACCTATTCCAGTAAAGAAGTACGTAGTTTCTCCTGTTGGTCAAAACCTTATCAATTTATCATTAACTGAAGAAGAACAAGAGGTTATTAAACAAAGTATTAGGGTAACACCTGAAAATGTAGTTGAAGTAAATACGAATAATCAACTTATTAATCAACGTTCAAAAAGTTGTAGAACTCTTAAAGAGAATGAAGAGGCTGATAAAATGATTGAAAAAGGAGAATTACCACCAATTGATCTTCCACATCCTAAAAGAAAAGATATGAAAACAACACGATTTCTTACTGATAAATTGTTCAATAAAAATATCAAATAATTATTTCTTTTGTATATTTATTCATAATTGAACAATTTCTTTCTTGTTTTTCCTATTAATTATTTGAGAAGAAGATGAGAATATTACTTTACTAAGAATTATCTCATTAAAAAGAAAATAATTTTTCTTATTAGAATTATTCCTTTTTTATTTTATTTTCTTATCTTATTTAAATAAATATCTTCATTATTTTATTTATTTAATAGTATAAAGATAGTATTAGAGTTTTATTATTTCATTCAATTTTATAGATTATTGTTGAGTTTATATAAGGATAAAGATGAATAACAGTTTTATTTCTAATTTAATATAAAAGGAATAATTAAAAAACCATTAACACTAAAAAGCAAGTAATGTTATTATAATATTCTAGGTATATTGATATTTAAATTGTTTGATTTAAATTGATTATCCAATTTAATAAATATGATAAACAATGAAAGAAAATATAAATAGAATTATCTTTTAATAAAACAAAAATTAAAATAACAAAAAAATGTTTTATAAAAATGCACTGAAAATTAAGAAGAAACAAGTACTTCATGGAAGACCAACAACTTAATCAAAGTTTTTCTAACAATGAATTACTCAATGAACAAATTCAATATTTAAAAGTACAACAATCAGAATTAAGAAGTTTACCTGAAGGAAGGGTTTGTTTTAGAATAATAGTTAGTTATAATATAACTCATTTATAGAGTGTATGGTGTAGAATGGGAGCAGTTTATCTTCCAACAACTCGTGAATCAACTCTTCAAGTCATTGATTGTTTGTGGTTTTAATATTCTTTGTAAATCAAAAATTCTTTCTAACTTTAAAGATAAGTTACATCTTGTAACTCATAGCTCTTTAAAATGATTGTGAAATTGAATAATTGTTTTATATACCATCATTTTATTATCTTATAAATATTTTATTTCAAATTTTTAGTTCTTTTATTCTTTATAAATTTGGTTTTACTTTTTAAAAAAAGTCAAAATTGGTTTAATATCAAGTAATTAACTAAGTATTAATAGAACTAACTTCTATTGTTAATGACTCAGGGGAGACTAATCCTGTCAATTTGTCTTCTTCTAGAAGCTCTACTGAGTATATTTTGCTGTGATAGAATCAATATTCAATGACACCTATCATGTTTTTAATTACATAGTTTTTTACTTCTTTCTCGATGTCAATCTCAATTTTTAATTCTTTAATTAATTTATTACTTTCTTTATTCATTAATCCATTTATTGAGATTACTACTGGAATTATTTTGACATCTTTTAATTTTTCTATTTTCATTAGAATATTCTTTAATTCCTTATACTTATTTCTTTTCTTCATTTACACTCAATTAATATTGTGATATTCAACATTAGTCATATCAAATAATAGACCAGTTTTGTTCTTTTTATCTAATACATATATGTCTGGTATTTTGTGGTATTGTCATTCACTTTTAGGCATTATTTGTTTGTTCAATATCATTGTGATGTCTTTATATTGGAACACTGTTTCATATGGAGTATTTTTTATATTGATTATTTCCTGTATATTTTCTTATTAATCCCTCCCATATTATAATGCCAATATTGTCATGTTTTTCTATTTGTGATTTTTTATGATAAATACAAGATAGTAGAATGTGTTCTACTGTAGCTATCTTGTCTTTACAAAGTGTGCAGTATTTCAATCTTTCATTTTTCATTATTTTTGCTTTCCTATACCCACAAAATATTGTTCCATCTTGCATTTTAGTTAATTGTAGGAATGCATTCTTTTTAATATTGATGGATTTCCATGCTTTCACTGTAGTAGTTTTATCTACTCCTTTTGACTCGAACCATCTTCTGAAGTGTCCACTTATTTGATGACACTTCTATATTTTGATGTATTTATCATTAATTTCTTTATTTCTACTACTACTTCTTTTTCTTTTTTATTTTCTATCCCTTCATTTATTATTTCTTCTATTTTTGTTTCATTTATTTTATGACTTAATGTTTTTAATTCTATTCAATATTCCATTCTTACTGTACCACCTATTATGTTATTTCTTATTTCACTTTCTCTGGTACAGTAGTACATCACTGTTCTAATTAATTCAATAACATATTCGTCACTTATATTTATTAATCCTTCACCCATTTCTTCTATAATTACATATAGACAGTTTTTGGAGTTTCACCAACGTATTTTGCCTTTCTTAAATATTTTCTTATTTCCAAATCAATTTTGTCTAAGTTACTTTCAAATTTACAACTGATGCTGAATATCTGAAGATATTGATTACTTCCATGTTTATTCTAGTAATATATATTCTATTACTACTTTCATCAGTGTTTATTTCTTCCATCTTTTGATTCATTTTTTCTTTGATGGATTTACAATTGAAGGTGTCATCAATTTCGTCGGACTGCCATATTCCTAAGTATTTATACAAGTCCTCACCTTCAACTACGGGGATGTTTTGCATTCCATCTGGTATTTTCTTAATGTTTTTTTAATACCATTCATGATTTTTTCTCATTCATTTCCATCAATATGTAACTTATTATTTCTTTAATTTCATTGTGGATTATTCCCATTTCTTCACTACTTTGTGTCACTATTCTCAAATCATCAATATATAATGTGTGATTTGTTTTTGGGAATTTCTCTTCGATGAATTGAGAAATTACGTTCATCTGAATGATGAAGAGTAGATTTGATAATGAATCACTTGTAAAATTCCTCTATTTAATTTAATACATCCTAGATATTCATTAAATTTATAACCGATGAATATCTTCCATCTAGTCATTATACTTTCAATTATGTCAATGATGACACACTCATAATTAAAATATTTTAATGTTTCAATTACCCATTCGTGGTTTACTGTGTCATATGTTTTCTTGATGTCATAATATGACTTAACATATTTTGGGTATTTTTCTTCTTTCTTCTGCTTTAACATATAACTATTAATTATTCCTTCTTTAGCAGCTAAAGATTGTAACTTACATCCCAGTTGATTTTTACTAATTTTCAATGATTCATTATTCATGTTAAGTCTTCTGTGAATCTTTTCTTTTAATATGGAGGTAAATACTTTCATAATTACATTTGTACAACTGATATGACGATAATTAGTGACATTATTCCTATCACCTCCTTTGTGGATTAATAAAGTTCTTCCACTTACCATGTCTAATGGGATGTTTTCAGGGAAGTTCAACCATTCGTTAAAGATATTGAGAATGATTTCTCTTGATGATGACATCCTTTTCCAATAATACAAATATATAGTGTCTATTCCTGGTGCTTTCCAGTTACTTATTTTCATTATACTTAAATAATTCATTTATTGTTATAATGACACTATCATAATTTCTATATCTTTCATTCCACGAGGTGATTTGTTTTATTTTCCAATTCTCTTTATTTAATTTCACCTGTGTTTCATATAACGATTTCCAATATTCTAAAGTAATATCGTTATTTGGGTATATTTCATTTTTTGGGTCTTTCTTCCTTATTCTAATTTTCTTGTTAGAATCAAACATGATTTTATTTGTATTGATTCTGATTATTTCATTTTTATTAAATTTAATTCTTTCTTTTATCATTCTCATCATATATTTTAGGTATTTTATTCTTTCTAGTGCTTTGACTTTGATTCATTCTTCATCATGTTCTTTTAATTTCATGATGCACTTGATTCTCTACATTTTCATTGACTATATCTTCTAGTCTATTAATTTTCTTTAGGATTTCTTTTATTTCATCAAATTTGTCTCCTATTATTTTATTTTGGAGATAAAGGTGCATAACCATTGAAATCTTCTTCATATCATCTTGCAGATCCTGTATTCTGCTTCCTGACATTATCCATCTATTATTAATTTCCATTATTAATCGGTCAGCTTCTTTTCATTGAATATAGTAATTAATGTTTGAACATTTTTCTATTTTCATTTCTTTCATTTTATTGATGAGAATGTTAAAGTATTCTTCATCAATTTCAGTAGAGTTATTCTTTAATATGATATTTTTTATTATTGAATTACACTCTACTCTTCCTTCTATTATATCACTTATTTTCACTTTAATGTATCGTTTAGTATTTTCTTTTATTTTATGTGATATTTTAATATATTTAATATATTCTTTTTCACTATTGACATTGATGTTTATCATTTTTATTATACTTTCTATTTGTTCCCATCTTAATTTCTTATATAATTTCTTATTCAACCAATTAATTACAAAACAATACAACACTTCAATTAGAATTCTATTTGTTTGTTTTGTTGTATTTCTTGTCTGATTATCATCTCTTGTTTTTGACAATCAATGCTTTGCTTTTCTCTTCGATTTCCACTACTGTCTTTTTCATAGGAGTAGTTTCGTTCATCTCCATTGTTCCTGATGATGCTTTCCTCAATATTGGTTGTGTATTTATCACAAGTGTCATCGTTTTCTTCTTCTCTAGTTCCTTCTGTGAGATAAAATTTTCAATATCATCTTGTTGTTTTGATATTATTTGTTTTTGTGCTTCATTTTCTTTTTGTGTGTTATCTAATTCTTCTCTTGTTATTTCTGCAATTTATTGGTTTTTAATTGCAATTTCTTGATATTCAGAGATTTGTTTTTCTTTATCTCTTATTTCTTTCTTTAATTCTTTAGTGTTTTCCTCTATCATTTCAATCTTCTTCTCTAGTGTGTTTGCATTTTGTTCTAGCGTTTTGTTTCTCTTTTTCAACTTTTCAATTTCTTCCTTCATTTCTTCATTTTCTTTTTCCATCTTCTTTTTATTAGCTTGGATACTTCGGATTTTTTCTTCTTTATTATTTACTTCTGTGATTTTCAGATCGAAGGTGGCACGTATGAAACACCACACACAAACCTTAGTACAAATTCATACTTCGACTCTCCCAGTTATTATCTGGTTATGACGGTGTTTTTGAATTAGG